CCTGTCTGAAGGCTGCAAATGATCTTGCTTTCATGTGTTAACTACAGTCGCCACAAGACTTACTGGTTCTCTGATCTCCCCCACCCCCCTTACACACAACCACATACAGTCAAGTTTATTTAATAACAGTTCTTCAGTGCTGTAAACATACGTTACAGGGCCAACTGTGTTCAACTCTACCATGGACAGCCCCAGTGCCTGAGAGAGAGCTCCGGCTCCCCTATCAACCAGCCAGGTCACTGCAGGCATCCAAGGACATGCTCTTGGTGGTTCCACAAGGACCTTGGCTGGACTGGAGTCCAACAGGAGAGGACCCTTTAGGGTGGCAGCACCACTTCTCCAGACCTCCCTGCCTCTGGAAGCCAGGCTCATGTCAACACCGTGTTGTCTTCACCCCTTGAAGAAATCTTTCTCTTAGGAACCTTCCTTGACCAACCAGCCACAGTTCTATCGACATTCCATTTTTAACATTTCATTTCATTCTTTTGTCTGTTGATTGTTTACCATTCTGGAATCTGTTTTGATGTGGTGTAGTATATAAATATGGCAAATAAATATTTGAAGGCCTGCCGGAGGTCATGCCCACACAAACACTTTACATATGCATTTGTATTTATTTGCAGAAATATGCACTGCCCACCTCCAGGTAGGTCACAAAAAACCAAAGCACAATTTAAAAGCTCTGTAATAAGTACACGGCATGCTTATAATTACACGGCATCATCCTATATAAACATTATCTTCCATCACCTCAGGAAAGCTTTCCATATTCAAATGTTTAACTAGAAGGACTTCAGATGGTTTGATGAGGTTTTTTAAAATCATTTTTAAAAGAATACAACATGCAACTGACTAATCCTGTGTGCTGCCATTGTCACGTGACATCATAAATGCGACTCATTATCATGACTGAGCTTCCCATCCCCAGCCCTTTCCTGATTTCTAAAAAATATTTTCCAGTTAGAGATATTGCAGATAAATTAGGCTCTGTGTTCCTGCATGTTCATAAAATGTTACCAAAAAAATCTTGAATGCAGGTACATCACTTTTGCTTCTGTGAGGAAAGGTGTGCACTTTTTATCAATGAACAAGGCAGTTTTGGTACAATCATACATAAATTTGTGTTTTTTGGAATGTTTTAACGAAGTGTGTGTGTGTGTGTGTGTGTAAGTAGGAACACACAAATGAACTGAAGGAAGTAAATACTGGAGCAAACTGCCCATGCAGAGTTTTCTGTACAAAATCCAGCAATAAAAATTGGACTGATGGAGAATCCAAGATGCAGCAGACTCAGGCTAGGTGATTTGGACTGGGGGAATTGTGTGATCATCACTACTCTTGCCCAGTGAACTCTCACATTGTGAATGATGGAACATTTTCAGCTGCCTCTCCACTGACTCCAGAAAGGGTTTGCTTTTTGCATTTGCTTAACTATTGATGCATGAAACTCAGCATTAAGAAAACTAAGATCATGGCATCCGGTCCTCTCACTTCCTGGCAAATAGATGGGGAAGAAATGGAGGTAGTGACAGATTTTTTTTTCCTGGGCTCCAAGATCACTGCAGACAGAGACTGCAGCCAAGAAATTAAGAGACACTTGCTCCTGGGGAGGAAAGCTATGGCAAATCTAGACAGCATACTAAAAAGCAGAGACATCAGCCTGCCAACAAAAGTGTGTATAGTCAAGGCTATGGTTTTCCCAGTTGCAATGTAAGGCTGTGAAAGCTGGACTATAAGGAAGGCTGAGCGCTGAAGAATTGAGGCCTTTGAATTGTGGTGCTGGAGGAGACTCCTGCGAGTCCCTTGGTCTGCAAGGCGATCAAACCGGTCAGTCCTAGAGGAGATCAACCCTGACTGCTCTTTAGAAGGCCAGATCCTGAAGATGAAACTCAAATACTTTGGCCACCTAATGAGAAGGAAGGACTCCCTGGAGAAGAGCCTAATGCTGGGAACAATTGACAGCAAAAGAAGAGGGGGACGGCAGTGGATGAGGTGGCTGGATGGAGTCACTGAAGCAGTTGGTGTGAACTTTAGTGGACTCTGTGGGATGGTGGAGGACAGGAAGGCCTGGAGGAATGATGTCCACGGGGTCACGATGGGTCGGACACAACTTTGCGACTAACAACAACAGCAACTATTGCTGCAAGCTTGGTTCCTTTTTGCACAACTTTTCACTCCTTTAGCCACACAGACCTGCCTTGCTTTGCCTCCACTCACTGTCTTCTCTGGAACTCAGCCATTGGTTTGGCCCTCCCTACTCACTCATGGCCTCTTGCCCCACAGCCTGGCCCATTTGGAGCAAACCCAGCAAGGGCAGAGGCTCACTGAAGCCTGCCACCTTTCCTGGTGATGTGACATAGGTAGGACTTGACAGACAGTCTGGGTAATGCAGAGCTAAAGATGTATGATGTCCTTTGAGATAGAATCATATTTGCTTAAAAAATAAACTAAGTTATGTAAAAGCAAATAAGTAAGTAAATAGCTTTGCTAATTTCTGAGCTGATTTGCCTTGGGCCTCAGATTTTAAATCCAAGCTAGAGAAGTATTCAGGAGCCTTGAATAAGAGGAGCTTGTGCTTAAGATGAGCTGATCAGCTCACAAATCTATTATCTGTGTCTGCACCCCATAAGCTTCCTGTCATGTTGGATGGTCTAAACTATGACCAGACTGCTCTCTGACCACACATGTACCTACCAAGAAATGAGAGATGGAAACATCTGATCACGGTGCTCTGAAATTGTAGGGAGCTCCCTAAGTTTGCCTAAAAATAGTAGCTGAAGGCCTGCCATAAAAGGTAAAGGTTTCAAAAACTGATCACTTTGTTTAAGAGTAACAGGCTGCTGTTTATATGTGCATTCGTGCATGTGTGTGTGTGTGAACCTTCCTACATTTTAAAATATAAAACTACCAATTTGATAGAAACATAGGTCATCATAGGAGTCACCCACATAGGAGCTTGGAAGCATTCTTCTTTTGTTCTCTTTCTTTTTTGCTCTTGAAACTATTCATTCTTCATTCTTTTCACTTGAAACTATTATCTGATTCCCTGGGCATGTGAAGGTTGCCTGTGAATATGATGGATGGTGCAACAGGGCTGGTTGCTTAACTGTGATAAGCTTATCATATAAGGATGGGCTTCCTCTGTAGCTCTCTCCTACTCATATAAGGTGTCAGGATTTCCCCAGGCTTACTACATTTAGGATAACAAACCACAGTGCAATCAAGGCCCTCCGGAGCATGTTGGACAGGGAGTCAGGAGACACTGGTTCAAGTCCCCAGTCATCCATGAAGATCACTGTATCACTGTGATTCAATCCCTGACTCTTAGCTTGACCAACCCCACAAGGTTACTGCTGTGAATATAAAAAGGAGAAGAGGAGGATCATGTAAGAGAAGAAAGGAAACATAACAAAATCCCGGGTTCTTTCACTTGTGTATCTGCACATGTCTCTAGAGAGATATTTTGGGAAGGACATGTAAATTTAGAATGGACAATTTTACCATTAGTTTATATCTTTAAAGAAATGTTTATTTAGGGTCGATGATGAGTGTGTGAAACAAGAATTCTAGGGCACAAGATGGGAATGTCGAGAAAACAAGTGCATGGATTTGCCATAAATGAACACCTCTCGCTATTCTGACCTTGCAGGCTGTTGTGATCTTCAGGGGAGCCTTTGTTGTCTAGGGCAGATCTACGGTTGTTACATGGGTGGGTTCTGTACGGCTGGAAGCGGAAGGGAGGCCTTCTCTGCAGGGTCTGCAGGACTCCAGGCCCCGAGGACCACATGCGTTAGGCCTTTCACTGAAACTGAACTTGTTTCTTCAGCTTTGAAGTAAACTTCTAATATTTGTGCGTGTGTGCATGCATTTTTATGCTTTTGTGCTTTTGTAAACTACTTGCAAGTTTGTTCCAATGTAAAGCAGTATTACTTATTTATTTTTATACTGCTCTACAGCCAAAACTCTCTGGTCAGTTTACAACAATCCATAACAACAAAATAATAAAATATAATAAAGCATCATAAAAACATTAAAAAATCAGTCAAAACCCAACGGGAAATAATGACCCTGTAAAAAATACCTGGGATGGGTAATCCTCCCAAGCCCCTGGGTAGCCACATAAATCTTTAAAAACTTGACACCAAGTTTGGTGCCAGGTAGGTCACTGTGGGGAGGCTGTTCCATAGATGGGAACTGTAGCTAAATATTGCTCATAAATTATACTGTGTGTGTGTGTGATGCTCAGCAGGTTTTGACTATGGAAGCCCTTACAAAATTAGAGTACTTAGAACACAACATACTAACAGGAAGTTTTATTATCTTACATACAAGCAGTCAATGCTATTAAGAAGTAATAACAAAGAACAGTGCTAAATGTAACATGCTTTCTATGCTTTTGGCACACTTTCTTTAACCTGATCAGTTAACAGTTTTACTGCAGGTATGACTCATACATTCATGTTTTGGAGCACAAGGAATACAAGCAGGTTACATTTCCTGATTGCTGTTTCGCCTTTATCAACAATGCCGCTTTGCAAAGCTTTTCTCATTACTGGGGTGCAGCAGCCAACTACATTCCCTAACATTTTCTCTGCTCTCTCTTCTTAGCCCTTTCTTCAATGTCTAGTTAATCCTTTCCTCAACAATATGCATAATTTTGGGGGAAAAAACCCATATCCAAAAACCCACAATGTTTTAATCTGTTTTATCCTTTTCCCCCCTTCTCTAATTGTGTGTTTTCATTTGGTTTGTGAAATGTACAATAAAAATAAATTAAAAGCACACATACACAAACATGTCTGGTATCTTCTTTAGTTGGAAGGAAGCTCATTTTAGTCAGCTTGGGCATAAGCATGTCGTAAAGACATAGTCAGATCTGTAGTGGCTAGGTGCCAAGGACGCTTTCTTCCTCTCCTGTTGTCCCAGTTGATGGCATTCAGCTTTGGCTCTGGGCTGCATGTTTTATTCTGATCATTTTGTGCTTTCTCCACCCTCTCTAGTAACGAAGATGGTGTGTGCTGAGCAATGTGATGGGCGGTGCTACGGACGCTCTGTCAGCGAATGCTGCCACCGGGAATGTGCAGGAGGCTGCTCGGGACCCAAAGACACTGACTGCTTTGTATGTTTCTTTTTCCCTCCATCCATCAGTAGCTCTCTTCATCCTTATGCTTTACTCCAAGGAATTCCTAATATACATTTTGGGGGGTAGTTTAATTATACTGCACTTACACTGAAAGATATTCACTAGACATTTTACCATTCATATTTTCCCATTACATTTCTGTTACTTATCAGCTTATTCCACCCATTAAAACATTTATGAGATTTGCAAATAGAGATTTGAAACCATTTATATGCTAATTGGTGCGATTTTTATCTTAAGTGAAAATATATTTTTTACTTCCCTAAAATTAACATTTACAGGATGTGGGCAAAGCACTCGGAAGTTTGATTCAAACAACACACACACACACACACACACACACACCCCATCGTCATGATTTCCTAGGAACAGAATGAAAGATACGTTACTTAAATGTTAAAAGAAATAGGTCACACTTATTTCTGAGAGCATCTGAACACGGCCCAGCAGAGGAATCCTAAATGGAGTTCTGAGTTTTTGGTGACAAGACGATCTACCAATCTACAGTCCAACCAGTTCATGCTGGCCAGGCCAGAACATGGGAGAGAGGGAGCTATTTTTTTCCTTCTTTCTCTCTGCACTGTGCAAAGGTGTCCATTTGGAATGGTTGAGGGCACACAAGCTGAGATAAGATTGGACAGTCGGTGTGGCATGGTAGTTGGAGTGTTGGGTGGGGACCCAGGAGATCCATGTTCTAGTCCCCACTCAGCCATGGAGCTCACCGGGTGACTTTGGGCCAGTCACAGCCTCAGCCTGACCTACCTCACAAAGGTACCATTGTGCAAGGAAAAACAGAGTGGAGGAGAACCCAGTGGCCTTGGGTTCACTGCAGGAGAAAAAGGGCAAAGGGGCAGGATATATATGCAACATAGTCATAATTCTGTGAATAGGGAAATCAGCTAACCTATACAAAGACAGTTGTGGATGGGACTGCAATCCCCCAAAAGGTCAAGTGTGCAGCTTTGGGGTTCTCCTGGACTCCAAACTCCTTATGGAAACACAGGGAATGTCAGTTATCAGGAATGCCATAATCCAGTTCAGAAGCTTCAGTTGATGTGGAACATGGCAGTCTAGGTGCTTGCAGGGCCTCATCAATCAGAACGTATAGCAATGTACATGCTGTGCATATATATGCACACATAAACATATAGCTGTACATGCTGTGTCAGTTGTTGATGTGTTTCTGAGCCTGGTTTAAATTACCTTTAAAACATTAATGGCCTGTGGGACTTTTTAAGTGGTAGCCCTATCATCATAGAATGGCCTTCTATAGGAGGTACACCTGGCCTTTTTCTTGGCTGTTTTTAAATGAGCCTTAAATACATAGAATTATAGTCAGATGTAAGCATTCCTAGAGCAGAACCATTGAAATCAGTGGGATTTTTCATTATGCCCCATGCATTTCCATGGGTCCAATTTAACTATGACTAAATGTCAGTCTAACCCAATCTATCTAACTATGACTAAATTTCAACCTAATTAAAAAAAGCTTCAGTCTGCTTTTAATTCCTGCTAGCTTATATTATTTATTGCAATGTTTTAACTATCAGTGATACATGCATTTTTATTTATTTTGTATTTGCTGATGTTTTAGTTAGTTGTTTCATGGAGTTTGGTTTGGTTTGCTTTGCTTTTGTTAACCAGGACACACACTTGTCAGATTGGGATTAAAAGTGTTGTTGGGAAAAATAATGTAACATCTCAGAGTTGAATTACAAGTGAATTATAAATGGTAAAATTCAAGTCTGCACATGTTGTATTTCTGTTTGTGTCCCAAAATGTTGCATTTGAATTTTTGTGCATGGAGTTGGACATTGTTCCATCGTGAATATGGTATCACCGAAATGGTACTCAAAGCATAATAAGAACATGGCAGGCAATTAGCGTCCTTAATTGAAGGCTGTTGTTTATTTATGTCACTTTGCTCATGTCTGCTGTACATCCCCCTCACTTTCCCAGTGAAATCTTGCTTGAAATTAGGAGTGACAAAACACGCGCAACCGATGACGATCATAATGTTGTGGAGATAAGATGGAGGAGGAGATGTAAGCTGCCTTGAGCCCTTTGTAGGAAAAAGGCAGGATATACATCCAAAACTAAATAAATAAACTCCTCAGAAAGGCCTGCTGTGACTACACATGTCACTCCAAGCCTGACATACAGGGAAACACTGTAGATGTTCTCCATTTCCCGTTATACTCAGAAAGCCTCAGAGTTTCATACTGCTGCTCAGGTCTCGTGCTAGAGGTGAAGCAGATGGCCTCAAAATCTGAGCAGGATTGGCCCTTTTTCAAAGGGTCACAATGGGATCCAAGCTGGATGTTGGAGGTGCTGAGCACCTCTAACCTCTAGTTTATTGAATCTGTTAACAGGCAGCCAAAAGGCAGGAAAAGGATGGATTCAATATCGTAGCTGGGCCCAAAGGCCCTCCTACTCCAGCTCAGACACTTAGGATGCTCTAAACTATATTACCGCCCCTTATAAACAAGAGTTTATAGCTACAAATTAAAATTTTGCTGAGTTTTTCAGACTAATTTTAGTAGTCTTTACAGAACACTACCATTTCCTTGGGCTGTATGGCATTCGTGTTTCACATCTTTATTGTACAATTACTAAGCAATTTATTATGATAATGAGGTACCTGGAAAGACAACAGTGGATAAAAGCAATGGATTAGGAAGAAGTAAGTGGGCTATGTTGTGTATTAATTAAAAAAAATTCAACATATGATGAATTAAGAGTTGATCTGACACATCATTCCTGCTTCCTATAACCTATAATATCATGCTATGAAAATTACTAGGTAAGGTAATCATCCCTCATTCTCAGTGTGCTGGCATCTATTCATTTGTGTGGGCACTCCTGGAAGAAAGCAAAATGTATCTCTGCAGCATTACTCTTCCAGCAAATTCACTCACATGGATTTAGAGGTATTTAGAAAGCTATGAGAAGAAGAATTAAACCCGATCTAAACATGCCTTTAAGTGTTCTTTGTGCATGTAGTAACTCCTCTGTAATTTGACACATTTGGTCTCATTAAATTAAATTGGCTTCCATTATAGAAACGCCACCAAAACTTTTGATGTGCTGTCTATCTAAATGTTGTTAGTTGCGAAGTCACGTCTGACACTTTGCAACCCCATGGACAACACTCCTCCAGGCCTTCCTGTCCTCCACCATCCCACAGAGTCCACTTAAGCTCACACCGACTGCTTCAGTGACTCCATCTAGCCACCTCATCCTCTGCCGTCCCCGTCTTCTTTTGCCATCAATTGTTCCCAGCATTAGGGTCTTCTCCAGTGAGTCCTTCCTTCTCATTAGGTGGACAAAGTATTTGAGTTTCATCTTCAGTATCTGGCCTTGTGAAGAGCAGTCAGGGTTGATCTCCTCTAGGACTGACTGGTTTGATTGCCTTGCAGTCCAAGGGACTCGCAGGAGTCTCCTCCAGCACCACAATTCAAACACCTCAGTTCTCCAGCGTTCAGCCTTCCTTGTGGTCCAACTTTCACAGCCATACATTACAACTAGGAAAACCATAGCCTTGACTATATGAACATTTGTCGGCAGGGTGATGTCTCTGCTTTTTAGTAAGCTGTCTGGATTTGCCATAGCTTTCCTCCCCAGGAGCAAGCATCTTTTAATTTCTTGGCTGCTGTCCCTGTCTACAGTGATCTTGAAGCCCAGGAAAATAAAATCTGTCACTACCTCCATTTCCTTCCCATCTATTTGCCAGGAAGGGAGACGACCGGTTGCCATGATCTTAGTTTTCTTCATGTTGAGTTTCAAGCCAACGTTGGCACTCACCTCTTTCACCCGCATCAAGAGGCTCTTTAGTTCCTCTTCACTTTCTGCCATGAGAGTGTTATCATCTGCATATCTGAGCTTGTTGATACTTCTCCCAGCAATCTTAATTCCAACTGCTGATTCATCTAGTCCGTCTTTCTCATGATGTGCTTTGCATATAAGTTAAGTAGGAAGGGTGACAGTATACAGCCTTGCCAAATTCCTTTCTCAATTTTGAACCAATCAGTGGTTCCATCTCCAGTTCTTCTTGACCTGCATATAGGTTTCTCAAGAGACAAATAAGATGGTCTGGTACTCCCATCTCTTTAAGAACATGCCACAATTTGTTGTGATCTACACAATCAAAGGCTTTAGCATAGTCAATGAAGCAGAAGCAGATGTTTTTCTGGAACTCCCCAGCTTTCTCCATGATCCTGCGTATGTTGGCAATTTGATCCCTAGTTCCTCTGCCTCTTCGAAACCCTGCCTGTACTTCCGGTAGTTCTTGGTCCACACACTGCTGGAGCCTAGCTTGTAGGATTTTGAGCATAACTTTGCTAGCATGTGAAATAGGTGCAATGGTGCGGAAGTCTGAACATTCCTTAGCATTGCCCTTCTTTGGAATTGGAATGTAAACTGACCTTTTCCAATCCTGTGGCCACTGATGGTCATCTGAATTAAATTCACCCATTCCTGTTCATTTTAGTTCACTGATTCCTAAGATGTTGATGTTCAGTCTTGTCATCTCAAGTTTGACCATGTCCAGCTTACCTTGATTCATAGATCTTACATTCCAGGTTCCTATGCTGTAATGTTCTTTACAAGATCGGACATTCCTTTCACCACCAGATACATCGGCAACTGAGTGTCCTTTCAGCTTTGACCCAGTTGCTTCATTCTTTCTGGCGCTACTAGTACTAGCCCTCTGCTCTTCCCCAGTAGCACATTGGACACCTTCTGACCTGAGGGGCTCATCTTCCGGTGTCATATCTTTTTGTCTTTTGGTACTGTCCATGGGATTTTCATGGCAGCAATACTGGAGTGGGTTGCCATTTCCTTATCCAGTGGATCACGTTTTGTCAGAACTCTCTGCTGTGTTCTTTCTATCTTGGGTGCCCCTTCACAGCTTAGCTCATAGCTTCTTTGAGCTGTGCAAGCCCCTTCGCCACAGCAAGGCAATGATCCATGAAGGGGATCTATCTAAATAGGGCCAGCCTTTACTACTTGCACACTCTGTTGATACACATGCCCTAACTTCTGTGTAATTCCTTCTGCCAAGGTTTTGCCAGGTGATTCCCAGCTTCCTGACAAAGGCTTTTTGTGACCTAACCAGTCATGTGCTTCACATCAATTCCTCATAATGTAGATGAGGAGATCTATTTGTGTCCCTCCAGATATTTTTGCCTACAAATCCCAGGACCCCTCTCCTTTGACTATGAGTGCTGTAGGCCTGTCTTCTGGAGGGTCATGAGCTGCCTAGCCCAGATGTGGATGTAGTACCTGATGAGCCACTGCAAAAGACACAGGCTTTGCCAGGAGAACCAGCTAGCCACCCTACTTGTGCACCACTTTTATTGGATTTGCATTAGGCCAGATCTCTCTCTGCCTTCTTTAGTTGACAGGAAGGAGGAGGTAAATGTCTTGTTTTGAAGGCAGTTTCCTCCTACCAAGGTTCATCATAGAAGGCCATTTCCCATTGCCAAGGTTATCTGGCTCCCTGATCTGCTTCAGCTGCAGTGGCACAAATGCCTGACCAAACAAGCCCCTGCTTTCCGGCACTCAGTAACCTCTGCTCTCAGGCACTGCAGTAAAAGCTGGTGTTGGCTTTGCTCTGATCATTGCTAGGGCATTATCTATAGTGTGATGGCAAAGGTAAGGGATGAGCAGAACCACTGACAAATGCTATTGCTGCCTGGACACCATGAAGCAGAAGTTATCTCATTTGTACCCCACCTTCCAACTAAAAATAGCACCCAAGGTAGCTTGCAGAATCAATCAGCATTGATTAAAGCAATAGAAAAAATGCAATACAAATGTAAAAATTACAGGAAAATATTATTACAGCCACACACAACCCACTGGACCCACTTACAGGCCAAAGGCCAACTTAAAGTGTCCTTTGCCAGCCAGTGGATTGGTAACAGAAAGGGAAAAACACCCATCCACCCTTGGGAGTGAGTGTTACAGCCTTGACGCAACCACTGAAAAGGCCCTTTCTTGGGTCTCTGGCAAACATGCCCTTGAAAGTGGCTGTCTGGAAAGAACTCCCTCTCCAGAAGATCTTCAGAGCTGGGCGGCTTCTGTAGGAGCAGGCAGTCTTTCAGGTGGCCTGAGGACAAGCTATACAGACCTTTATAGATCATAGCCAGCCCTTTGGATTCTCAGCAGAAACCGGCCGGTATCCAGTGAAGCTGCTGTAACAAGGGAGTCACATGCCCTTCTAATGAGCCCCAGTCAACTATCAGAGTGCAGCTGAAGGTTCTGAACAAGTTCCAAAAAAGGCCCACAAGGGGCATGTGCTGTGGACAAGTGGAATGTAGCAAAGGTGTGTGTGCAAATAGCGAAAGCATTGCTTCTTGTTGCTGTTGTTCCTGCCAGCTTTAATTTAGAAAAGCCTCTGTTTATGGACTCCCAATCAATTTATCTTACAAACGGTATTGCTTGTCTTACAGGCCTGCATGAACTTTAATGACAGTGGTGCTTGTGTCACACAGTGTCCCCAGACCTCAGTCTACAATCCTGCCACCTTCCAGATGGAGAATAACCGAGATGGCAAATACACCTACGGTGCTTTTTGTGTCAAGAAGTGCCCACGTAAGTTATGGGAGGGCTGTTTTCCTCCAAGCAAAGCCCAACCCATTCATAGCCATGTTATCAAACTCTTAAGAAGCCATTGGAAAGCAAGTCAACAACACAACCAAGTTAATTATGAGATTACAATGATATTTTGTCCTATTTTCTACAATAGCAATATCTGGAAGTTATAACTTGTTCTGAGAGTAGCACTGTTGAGTGCTGGCATATTAATAACACCCTTTACCATAAAGTCAAAATATCTACTAAATATGAGAGCCTGTATGATCACAATTTCAGGTTTTCTCCAATAACGGACTTGCATATTTGCCAGATGTCAAATATGGAGCCCAGTCTAGCATTTCTTTTTGTTAAATAAAGTCCCATTTTCATTTCCTCTCAAATGCAAGTGGAAATTCCCTTTGATGTTTGATGTTTTCTTGAAGTTCAAGTATGTGGTGTGGCTATGTCAGTCAGAGCAGGCTCATCATTATCAGGATGCATAAGATATTCTTCATAATTCCAGTGATAAAATTGTTACAAAGGTCAGTCAGAGAGAATGAGTCAGTTTCAACGTAAATGCATTTCAGTTTAAGAGAGCCAAACCAGATATTAAAATGGTTTTTATGGGCTGCAATGTAAGCTGCTTTGGAGAAATTTTTTCTTCCCGCTTTCCAAAGAGTAACTATATCCTGATGGCATTGTCTGCTGGGGAACCAGAGAAGGAAGCTACTATCAGGAAGACAAGCACATATTATCATATGTGCAGACAACATGTCTGAAAACCTTCTCTGCATTTATCATGTTCTGCTACAGTGGAAGTAATTGTCACCTGAGGAGTACTGAATGTGTTACCAAGCTCCCTTTATATGATTTGCATTTCAATAATTCATTTGGGGTACATGATAAACTGTTTCATCTTTGAACACTTTCCTGCATTCAAGGATGGAGTCTCAATAATATGGATTAAAAGAGGGTAAATACTGTAAGATGACACTCAAGGATATTTCATCCGTGCATGCATGATGAAAACACCATTGCAGAACAAGCTGTGCCATTTTTGCACATTACAAGTCATCACAGTACCAAGCAATCTCGTGCCCTCCAAATGTTTTGGACTTCAGCTCCCAGGATTCCTGACCATTGACCATGCTGGCTGGGGCTAACTGAGTTATTGTTATTCTATATTTCATTTCTATAATGCCTCACAGCTGAAGTCCACATCAACTGGAGTGCAACAGGTTGGACAACACAGTCACACAATGATTATCACTGGAGTTATTAAGTGATGTACATACATGTGCATATTAGCTCTTTCTTGGCATTATTTCTTAAATTTGTTGTTATAATTATTTTAATGTATTTCTGATCAAAGTAAGTCACTCTTGCATGTGTCAAAAGCAGAACAATATAGGAAGATATAGTAAATTTTCATAGGAATCAGTGAACTAAAACAGACAGGAATGAGTGAATTTAATTCAGATGACCATCAGGCATGCTACTGCGGACAAGAATCCCTCAGAAGAAATGGAATGGCCTTCGTAGTCAATAAAAGAGTAGGAAAAGCAGTACTGGGATACAATCTCCAAAATGACAGAATGATCTCAGTGCAAATCCAGGGCAAACCATTCAGCATCACAGTAGTCCAAGTCTATGCCCCAACCACTGGTGCTGAAGAGACTGAAGCTGACTGGTTCTATGAAGGCCTACAACACCTTCTAGAATTAACACCAAAAAATGATGTCCTTATCATCATGGGGGATTGGAATGCTAAGGTAGGAAGCCAAAAGATAACCGGAATAACAGGCAAGTTTGGCCTTGGAGTACCAAATGAAGCAGGGTACAGGCTGAAAGAATTTTGTCAAGAGAATACGATGGTCACAGCAAACACACTTTTCCAACAACCAAGAGATGACTCTACACATGGACATCACCGGATGGTCAACACAGAAATCAGACTGACTGCAGCCAAAGATGGAGAAGCTCTATAGAGTCAGTAAAAACAGGACCAGGAGCTGAATGTGGCTCCGATCATGAGCTTCTTGTTGCAAAATTTAGGCTTAAATTGAAGAGAGTAGGGAAAAGCACTAGGCCACTCAGGTGTGACCTAAATCATATTCCTGATGAATATGCAGTAGAGGTGACAAATAGATTTAAGGAATTAGATCTGATAGACAGAGTGCCTGAAGAGCTATGGACGGATATTTGCAACATTGTGCAAGAGGTAGCAACTAAAACCATCCCAAAGAAAAGAAATGCAAGAAAGCAAAATGGCTGTCTGAGGAAGCTTTACAAATAGCTGAGGAAAGAAGGGAAGCAAAAGGCAAGGGAGAAAGACAAAGATACACCCAACTGAATGCAGAATTCCAGAGAATAGCTAGAAGAGATAAGAATGTCTTCTTCAATGAACAGTGTAAAGAAACAGAAGAAAACAATAGCAAAGGGAGGGCCAGAGATCTCTTTAAGAAAATTGGAGATATGAAGGGAACGTTTCATGCAAGGATGGGCATCATAAAGGACCAAAATGGCAGGAACCTAACAGAGACAGAGGAGATTAAGAAGAGGTGGCAAGATTACACAGAGGAACTATACAAGAAAGATCGTAAGATCACTGATCATCACGATGGGGTGGTCGCTGACCTCGAGCCAGACATCCTGGAATGTGAAGTCAAATGGGCCGTAGGAAGTCTGAGCAACAACAAAGCTAGTGGAGGCAACAGTATTCCAACTGAGCTATTCAAAATCTTAAAAGACGATGCAGTAAAAGTGCTACACTCAATATGCCAGCAAATTTGGAAAACTCAACAGTGGCCACAGGATTGGAAAAGGTCAGTTTACATTCCAATTCCAAAGAAGGGCAATGCTAAGGAATGTTCAAACTTCCGCAGCATTGCACCCATTTCACATGCTAGCAAAGTTATGCTCAAAATCCTACAAGCTAGGCTCCAGCAGTGTGTGGACCAAGAACTACCAGAAGTACAGGCAGGGTTTCGAAGAGGCAGAGGAACTAGGGATCAAATTGCCAACATTCGCTGGATCATGGGGAAAGCTGGGGAGTTCCAGAAAAACATCTGCTTCTGCTTCACTGACTATGCTAAAGCCTTTGATTGTGTAGATCACAACAAATTGTGGCATGTTCTTAAAAAGATGGGAGTACCAGACCATCTTATTTGTCTCTTGAGAAACCTATTTGAAGGTCAAGAAGAACTGGAGATGGAACCACTGATTGGTTCAAAATTGAGAAAGGAGTTTGGCAAGGCTGTATACTGTCACCCTTCCTACTTAACTTAAATGCAAAGCACATCATGCGAAAGGTGGGGCTAGGTGAATCACCAGTCGGAAGAAATATCAAAAAATATCAGATTGCCGGGAGAAAAATCAACAGCCTCAGATATGCAGATGATACCACTCTAATGACAGAAAGTGAAGAGGAACTAAAGAGCCTCTTGATGCGGGTGAAAGAGGTGAGTGCCAACGTTGTCTTGAAACTCAACATCAAGAAAACTAAGATCATGGCAACCGGTTGTCTCCCTTCCTGGCAAATAGATGGGAAGGAAATGGAGGTAGTGACAGATTTTATTTTCCTGGGCTCCAAGATCACTGCAGACAGGGGCAGCAGCCAAGAAATTAAAAGACGCTTGCTCCTTGGGAGGAAAGCTATGGCAAATCTAGACAGCTTACTAAAAAGCAGAGACATCACCCTGCCAACAAATGTTTGTATAGTCAAGGTTATGGTTTTCCCAGTTGTAATGTATGGCTGTGAAAGTTGGACCACAAGGAAGGCTGAACGCTGGAGAATTGAGGTGTTTGAATTGTGGTGCTGGAGGAGACTCCTGCGAGTCCCTTGGACTGCAAGGCAATCAAATTAGTCAGTCCTAGGGAAGATCAACCCTGACTGCTCTTCAGAAGGCCAGATACTGAAGATGAAACGCAAATGCTTTGGTCACCTAATGAGAAGGAAGGACTCCCTGGAGAAGAGCCTAATGCTGGGAACAATTGACGGCAAAAGAAGAAGGGGGGGGGCAGAGGATGATGTGGCTAAATGGAGTCACTGAAGCAGTCAGCATGAGCATTGGTAGACTCTGGGGGATGGTGGAGGACAGGAAGGCCTAGAGGAATGTTATCCATGGCGTCGCAAAGTGTCAGACATGACTTCGCAACTAACAACAACAACAAAAGATATAATGAACTAGAGCTTCACATAAATACAACTACTTGTCATGTAAAATCAGGAAGAGCAGTGGCAAAATACTTTGAAAACTTGGGCTGTGAAAGAAAGGAGCACTTTCTTCACATTTTCAGGTGACCTGAAGAATTTCTGGACAAAGCCTTTTATGGTCAGTGAACTTACTTTTTCAACAGTGAGTAGCAGAAGCTTCTCCTTTTTCTTTTCTTTTTTCTTTTTTGGTTTCTTTTTCCATTAAATATTTTAATGATTGGCTTTCAGAAAACATGACCGCTCACTCAAGGACTGAATATGTGTTGTTCAGTCATTGGTTGTTGTTGAAAGAAGGGTTGTTCTATGGTCCAAACCCAACTGAGATATTAAACCATGGTAGATATCCTACAGCTCACCATCCAAACGCAACATGGATATTCTTCACAAGGTGTTTGTGGTTAACAAGCCATGTTTTCTAAATGCAGCTGGTTTTAGACAGCCGAACAACCCATGTTGGGACAACAGCCCACGAATGAACAACCTACACTCAAGCCATTCTCATCCCTTGGGTGTGGGTTACTGTGTTGCCTGAACCCAATATTTCTTTTTAAGCAGAAAAGCTTACAAAACTGAAGGATTCCTAAACTTTTATTTTAGATGCCGAAGGACTCAGCTGAGTACAGCTGCGAAGGAAAAAAGTTCTCCATATATTCAGGAACACTTTCCTCTTTGGTTCAGCATACCATGCTAGCTTACAAAGCGTTTACTAGCTTTCACACCAGGCACCCAGCTTCATCTTCTGCATCCAGAAAGAACATGTTGGGCCATCAGGATACCAGCCCTGTCAAGCGAGATCACGCTAAGCCTCCAGCTCTCAGCCTCCAGAGTGGCTCATTGCTGCTGAGTGTTATTTATGGAACATACTCTGCAGTAGTGTTAAAGAGAGTGGGTGCCTTTGCACACCTGCAGAGCATCCATCTTCCACCATAGTGCCAGTACACCCTTCATTACAACTGAGTTATCAAAACAAAAGCTGACTTCCCACAGCCTTTCCCCTGTACCCAAACAACTTCCGAGTGAAAGACATTAGCCTGCTGGAAGGGTCTTCGGTTGCAAGTTTGGAAAAGATCCCTGCCTGAAACCTTGAAGAGCCACTGCCACAATGATCTGTAGTGGACTTGCCCTATGAGACAGCTCCATGTTGGCATATCCCTTAGATCATGGAATTCCCTGTGCCTCATCCACAAGGTGATCTTTGACTTTTGACACAGATCATTGTCATTTATTTATTTATTTATTGGTTAAATAGATCAACCTGTGCACTGTACAAACTAGTATTCGAAATAACTCTAACACTTGCTGAAGAGAAAAAAGTATGCATTCCCCTTTGGCCATTGTTTTGGAAAGTTAATTGCATTACCTTCAGTACTGAATATCCAGCTATCATGTTTTATATCCACATGTACTCAAGATGGAGATAATTCAAAGCGTCTTCTTTTATCCAGCAGTTGGTACCAGCTTGTCTGTGACTGTATATTCTTTGATGCTAAAATAGCATTTCAAATATAGTCCAGAATACAAACTTCATTAAGATGGAGTTACAGCATCAGCATCTCAAGGGAAATGAAGCTTTTAAAGAATGTCGAAATTAGCAACAACATAAAGCTACGGGAATACAGAAGAATGTGAGCTTAGATAAAATGTTAAAAGATAAAATGCTGTGCTTGGTGTAAATGTATACCAAGAAACATCAAATATAGTGGTAGAAATGCAGGACCTGCATCCACCTTGCCCCATTGCCTCTGTTTTCAAACAGATGTCTCAAGTATCCTTTGTGTGCATTTTGTAGACCAATTATAATAATCCCTTTTGCCTTTTCTAGATAACTTTGTGGTTGACATTAGTTCCTGTGTTCGTGCCTGTCCCAGCCCCAAGATGGAAGTTGAAGAAAATGGTATCAAGACATGCAAACCATGCACTGACATTTGCCCTAAAGGTAAGCTGCCATGTATTACAGCTTTAACTATCATGTAGTTCAACACAGAATGAAGTGGAATTGAGTAGAGTATAAACCATAATGTGTGGTCTTTGTGCTGTAATGACGCAATGCAGGATGGAAATTTGACAGGGGAAGAAAAGTGGTGAAACTGGAATAGAGTGTGGTTTAGGATACAGTAGCCTTCCCCAGTTTGGCACCTTCCAAACATTTAGAACCACCTGTCCCAGCAGTCCTGACCATTGGCTGGCCTTGCTTGGACTGATGGGAACTGCAGGGTTGGGCCTTAGGCCCACTGTTCTTCAACATCTTTATTAATGATTTAGATGAGGAAGTACACAGAAAGATAATAAAATTTGCAGATGATACAAAACTGGGTGGAATAGCAAGCACCCTAGAAAACAGAATGAAGATCCAGGGCAATCTTGATAAACTTGAACACTGGGCTGAAAACAACAGAATGAGATTCAGTAGGGGCAAATGCCTATTCCTCCACCTAGGAAAAAGAAAGGAAATGCATCAGTACAAGATAGGGAATATGTGGCTCACCAGAATTGAAAAAGTAAAACACCTTGGAATTATTGCGGACAACAGGCTAAATGTGAGCCAAAAATGCAATGCAGCTGCAAAAAGGGCAAATGCTATTTTGGGGTGCATCAACAGAAGTATTACTTCCAAATCACATGAATATTAGTTCCCTTATATTCCTCACTAGTCAGACCCCATCTGGAATACTGTGTCCAGTTCCGGACACCAAGATTTAAGAAAGATGCAGAAAAATTAGAATGGGTTCAGAGGGGGGCAACAAAAATGATCCAGGGTTTGCAAACACTGCCCTATGAGGAGAGACTGAGAGAACTGGGCATGTTCAGCCTTGAGAAGAGAAGACTGGGTGGGGTGGGGTGGGGTGGCATGATATCCCTCTAAAAGTACCTCGAAGGCTGTCACAAAGAGGAAGGTCAAGATCTCTTCTTGCTGATGCCAAAGTGTAGGACATGGAATGATCAATTCAAGTTCAGGCTGGACACCAGGAAAAGCTTCCTCACTGTCAGAGCAATACAACAGTGGAACCAGCTGCCTAGAGAGGTGGTGGGCTCTCCCACAGGAGAGACACTGAGAAAGAAACTGGACCACCACCTGAGTGGGAGGGTGGAATTTGGTGTCCTGCAACAGCAGGGGGTTGGACCTGACAGCCTTCATGGCCCCTTCCAACTCAACTATTCTATGATTCTATGCAAGAGTTTATTTTCTCATCTACTCCATCAGAATAGTGAACTTCAGGAGCTGGGGCCTAGCTGGAGCTCCAATCCTTAAGATTGAACCCACTTCCAAGCCAGGTGGTGTAAAAACTCTGTTTTTTACCACTGTCTTATGCTTTTTTCTTCTTCTGAGCATGCCTGGCTTCACACTCAGTCCAGACCAGTTGGAGGAAGTGAAATCGCTCACCAGCAGCGTGCACTCAATATTCATATTGGAAAATGGAGGGAGGATACACCACTCCACATGACACACATGCAGTCCACACCCCACTGTGGCTGTGCCCTTGAAGACCAGCGGACTAAAGGATGCATCTGCATACGTGCAATCAGAAAGCTTTGATTCTCAGAGAGCAGGGATGATGGGACCGAACTAGGGGAGATGGCAGAAGAAACCAACCTGAAATTTGCCTGGTCCCTGTGAAGCAGCAGTGGGAGGCTATGTAGAGTGCAGCAGCAGGAGGCAGAAGGAGATCTACACCTAACTTAATTTGTATCCAATGCCTGCATTCACCACCAGAAATGACCTTCTTGCCATCCCTGCCCTTCCAGTAGGGATTGCTTCTATGCTAAGAGGGCAGTTGAGAGAAAAGCTAATTTAAAAACTATTTTTGAGGGAAAATAACAGGTAGGAAAGGAGTCAGCTCAACCTTACCCTAAGCTCTGTTTTACATTTTCACACACTTGCCCAACTAGGGACTTCCTAGGAATCTGATAGCAGACTTATTTCTGCACACAGCCCAGCCACCAGGATATTTAGTTTGGCTTTCAACTATGAAGCATTTAGGAGTGCCCACTATGGCTCACAGCAACACCCCCAGGGCCCCAGTTTGGTTAATAAAACTGGCCTTCTTAAGCACAAGTAAATCCACAGTGGAAATGGTGCTAACTTGATGGACCGTCAGCGGATCCCCTTTCAAAGCCTTGCTTGTTTCCCCCGATGTCATGACTCCTCTTTCTGGGCTAAGGATGGGGAAGGAAAACATCCAGAGTGTGTGGTAAAGACTGGGAAGGTGAATTCAGGGCTTTTGAGATGTGATGTGAAATATCTGGTGAAAAAATATGCGTGAGAACCCTAGGCAACTGTTCAGCGAAGAAGAAATGCTCCTTCGTTTCCTCTGTTTTTACTTAAACTTCTGCAACCAAGGGCACTGAAGAAGTGTTTCCATGCTCCTGCACAAACAAGTTATCACTGAACCAGACAGCTTGATTCAAACCACAACGGTGATGGACTTATTGGACAGCCTTGGACAAACCTGAGTTAATGTACTGGTCTATGGAAATGAAAGTGGCAACAAACATTGTTTACTCAGCTGAAACCTTAGAGAGAACACTATATATCTTACTGCATTTAACAATAATAAAACCATATTTGGATGTTCAGACATCCACACCGTGGTAAGATGTGAGCCATCATGAAAAGAATATGACTATTGAAGTCCAGTTTTATTCTCTCAGTGGTGGAATAATATACCACAGAAGAAAATCCATATTACAGCCGTGAGGTAAAAGAAGAATATGAGTGTTTTGCAAGAGCTTAAGATAGGTAAGAAGAGCTTCTAGTATAAGCAGGCACTCAAAGGCACCATAAGGCTTACTGGTATGGATCAGATCTAATAAGTAGCTTAATGACCTTTAAAACTTTTTATAGCCATGCCTCTTTGACCTTGCTTTCACAGAGGTGGTAAGCCCATGCTTGAGCTGCAGTGCTTCCCATGAAAAAGGCTGCCTACACAAAAAGAACTACCATGGGAGGAGAAGGCAATATATTAGCATTGTGTCTGAGCATCAGATCAAATTCTGAGCACTTTCTTGAAACACACAGTACACAGGCATTCATTTAATTTCTTATAATTGTGTCATCAGCTTCCTTACATGCATTTCCTAGCATACTCTGCCCTTATGCTTTTACATACTTAAAATAGTTTAAGGGTTAACCTTTTAGAACACAAACGGGAGCTGCAAAAATGATCACCTTATCTGAAACTGGAAAGCATAATTTTGCCTAAAGATCTAACAGCAAGGTTTGTGTCACTCTTCACTGAACAATACTACTTTAGAGGCACTGGCTGATGATCTCACATCAACTTGCAAAATTTAAGCCCAGTTTTCTTCTTGCCTCCCCATAAAGCAGTACCTCTTCCTCTCTCACTCCTTTCTCTTATCCCCACTGTCCACCTGTTCCTGGGGTTTCTTAGCCAACTTCTTTTTATCTCCCCAGCTCTGATCCATCATTTCCACTAACAATATGGCACACATAACTTTTAGTCCTCAGAACTTTGGGAAGGGTTTCAAACTTTTATTCTATCCAGCTACATTTCTGCTTGAACCGTAGCTAAACTGACTGACAGCATTCTATGACTGATCCATATTCCTTGGCCTGGTCTCCCTGGTTTCAGTATGATTCCAGGAAAAGTAGATTTTCTCTGTTTTTCACTGACAAATCAGTGTCATAAACTCATTGTCATAAAAGAATCCAAATGGACAAATGCACGTATTTATAAAAGTTGTTTGTTTGTGTGTGTTTTTTTTAACAGCATGTGACGGCATAGGTACTGGAAGTTTGATGTACGCTCAGACTGTGGACTCCAGTAACATTGATAAATTTGTCAACTGCACCAAGATCAATGGGAACCTAATCTTCCTTGTCACTGGGATTCATGGGTGAGTGCAAAGAATTGTAAGCTGCAGAACTCAGAATTTGCAGCTTTTCTGTCATTCAGTCTTGGGATAAACATCAGCCAGCATTGCTTCTCCTTGGAAATGATGCAAGTCTAGCATGGGAAGAGATGTGAGCCAAACCCAGTGTGGTCAAGCTTGTTTGATGTTATTAGAGCAGGGAAGGCACAGATGAGAAAAGTTAAAGTAACATAGCAAAAGTAACAGGGTTCTTGGACTCCCAAGTTGTGGGATTCAAATCCAGGTTCATGGTTTTTGAAATTCTAGCCATGGCATTTGATAAACCTGATCAAGGCTGTTGAGACTTTCTAAGTTCATTTGAAAAGATCAATGTTGCTAGGAGACATTGATTGACAAGTCTCATGGAAGACAATTTTATACATGCAGGGACTTTGAGACATAGGGACTTCTACTGTTTATTACTTGCATGAAATTCTTCCCTTTTTGGTACCCTGAGCATTGAAGTCCTGAAAAAATAGCTGGTGGGCCAATGTAAATGCCATCCCTTTCATTTCTCTGCCCCTTCGACCTGTGCTATTTTTGAATGGGCTTTGTGAAGGTACTTTTTGCTGCAGTTTTCAGTTAATGCATTTTTCCCCTTACACTTTAACAATGCACACCAGTACATTGATTAAACAACTGTGAAAAAGGAATTCGGATACCATCATGCCAAGGTTCCTTTGTGTGCTAGTTTTAATCCATGTGCCTGGCCAAACCAGTTACCTTTAAGGACCAGGAAAAGATGCAAACAGGAAACCATAGCCAGCCACACACGTGCCAACTCTGAAATTAATGGGAGAAATTGCCTGAGTTTAATAGAGAGGCAGGGAAATAAAGTACGTGGCAGTGCTGACCCACAAAACAACAGCAACACTCCGTGTGTGCGTGCGCGTGCCCACGTGCGCTACTGTCATGCCCAAAATGTGAAAACCTCCTGAAAGAAAAATTCCAAGTACTATTATTCCTGGTGTATGGTTAGCATCACATTAAAGTAATATTTTGAAGCCACATGCATCAGCTTCTTCAAACAAGGGAAAATGTAGGTTTAATTCAATTTCTTTGGCCCATAGAAAACATTAAGTGTTGCAAAGTATATTTGCTGTCTCGAAGTTATAAGGAAATTCCACTCATCACACAGTATAATTAAACTGAGCAAATTTTGACAGAACAGATATGAATGAAATATATATTTATTGTTCCCAATATGAATTTAGGATATTTGAATAAAAACTTGCATTTGGAATGAATTCTATTATTTAACATTTAAATAATGGTGGAGTAGCTTGCATATTGATATTAGGGAACCACTATAACAACAGATAGTAAAAATACCATTTTTTAAAAAAAACTTAAACTATATGTAGGGCACAGTTTCTATGCAAGTTTAGGCAGAAAAAAATCTTATATCTCCCAGTGTCTTCCCAGCCAGTCAAAGCTGGGACATGCAGAGCATTGTAAGATTTTTTTTTTTCTTCTAAAAATGCACTTTTGTTCATGCAATAGAAACTGGTATTGGAACATACCTGGCCAAAAACTTTGAACATCTCTCCCAGTATAGCCTGCTCTGATTGGCAGCAGCTCACCAATGTCTTTGGCACAGAGAGGTTTTTCTCATCAGTATAATGTAGAACAAGGAACTTGATCAGCATGTGGCCATTCTTTCCTCATTTAGTACGTAATAAAAAGAACCCTACCCAAAAGCTACTGATGCATTTACTGAGCAATGATTTTACTTCAGAACTGTCTGGCATGCATTTAATCTAAAGGAAGCTTACAAATTTCTGTCACCAGTATTGTGCATGGACCAGGTAGTTTATATTGTGAAGGAATCCTCAGATGCTGTGGGCCAAATCCAGCTTTCCTGGGAGCCCAATCCAACCTTCCAGGGTCCCTGATGTGATCATTTGGTGGCTTCTCCCATTCTAAAGGGCAGAAAGCTTCTCCTAAGGCTTCATTCCTGGCAGGAAGAGCTTTAAAGCACAATATGCTGGCATTTTTCTGTATCCTCCCCCATTTTATTGACTTTAGCTCCTCCCAATGCTGGAATGTGGCCCGCAAGAGCTTCTCTAACATTGACTCCAGCCCAAGCCACACTCCTGGTTTACAACCAGCTTGAATGAACTTATTTTTTTTTAAACTGTGTTAAATCACTTTATAACAAAAATATTCAAATTCACCACATGCATAAAATTGTACAATACAAATAAAAAGAAAGAAAAAAATCAAGTTATATTAAACTATAGCCAAGAAAAATTGCATCCCTTCACCGGGCCGTTGGATGCATGTTAAATCAAAGCTTGAACAAACTTCTAAAGCCCTCATTCAAGGTGCTCGTTGCTCTCAGGCAGCTGTTGTCAGGCCTCTGTATTTGCAGGAGGATTGCATGGATGCTTCCAGAGCATTTTCACAGACATATTCACCTTGCTTAAGAAGTGATATTTCACGTTCAGGACATCTTCTGGCAAAGTGGTGATGTAATATTCATGAGTGCAGGATTTTCTCAAATAATTAGTTTGCCTGTTACCCTGTCTAATGCATGGAAGAATGAATACGTTGCATTGGCTCATAATACTAGGAGATTGAAGATCATCCCTGTTATGTGCAAGTGAACCAACTTCAAAATCAAGTTTCTCTCACCCCCCTTCTGCTACCCGAGATTTTCAAGAACACTGTAGAAAACTGTTGCTATACTTGAGATGCTAATTTGCAACAGGAAATGTGCAGTTTTTGCTTCTTAGAACAAAATAATGATTTTTTTCACTCCAATATGAAAGGAAGTTCTTTGAGTCAGGTGACATCAGGAAAACTGTTTTAACAGTCTTAGAACAGCCACTGTTGGACTCAAGAGTTCCTCTTGCTTCCTCTGCCATGGACCCACAAGAAGATCTAGTGAAAGGCCACAGTCAAAACCAGTGCCTTTGACCCACAATATTTTCCCACTCTAGTACATGGCAGACTACCCCAGCCCAGGACCTTCCAGATGTTTTGGACTGCGACCCCATAGTTGGGCTGTTGTAGCTCATGGCTCATGGCTGTCGTAGTCCAACAACGTTTGGAGGACCACTGATTCCTGACTCCTGTCCTATGTATCAGCTCTGCCTTGTGCTCCCTTCCTGATTTCAGTTTAACTAGATGAATTTATAACATTATTTCTGGAAGTGGAGCTTGAATTTTTTAAATTCTGAAATTCAGTTCCTTTGGTTCATGTCCATATTTTCCTAGTTAATGTTACCAGTTCATGCATCCTGATAATGAGCAATCTTAATATGTATTAAGGCTCTTTTTGTGTGGTATTTTATTTTTGCACCCAGGAGCTCCTGAATATTGCTAGTGCAGCTTTAAAGCAGAGGAATCTTGATTTAATCATACATAAATTCATACCAAGATTGCTTTTTTGAAATGTTTCATCAGTGCACACGTGGGCAGAGCACACACAGAGTGGTAAAAAGAAGAGCAGGAGACTGAAAATGGCAGCATGGTGCTTTGAAAGAATTTCTGAAAAAGAAAAAAAATGGAGCCATATAAGATGTATCATGTATCATTTCTGCCTTGGAAACATGAGGAGAATTTGAGAAGCCTTAAAACAGGAATATGTAATTTGTTCCATGCAATTCCCATCATCCCTCACCGTTGATTATGCTGAGTAGATCTGATAGGACTAGCAGGCCAATACTTCTGGAGGGTCACGAGTGGCCCACACTTGCCCTAAATCCTTGGCTTAAATTAAGCCTGCTGATCTAACTTCATTTTCCATCAGCTCATAACCCCACACATATTTCTGTGGTTCAGTGTCATCCTGAGGGAGCACAACAACCTAAAATAGAAATGGTTATTTGATGTACAATTCATACTAACAATTAGCACAAACCATAGTGTGCAATTCTACTGGAATCCCATTTCCAATCACAACTTTTTGTGTCTGGTTTGCTGGCTCATTGGAAATCAGTATTTGTCACTGGTAAGCTGTGTTTTGAGCTCCTGTGTCAATAGATGCACACTTTTGAACTTCCCATGCCTTACTCAGAAGCTTTTTTGGAGGGGTTAGGAATCCTTTCTCAACGGTCTCATACTGAAAGTGTGATTCTAAAAAGCTGTAATCCAAGATGAAACTTGTTTTACTAAGCAGATTGTAGGTGCTGATGGAAGAGGTCCACACCACAATAACTAAGTGTATAATATTCAGCCAAACTTGGGATTTTCTGTGAATATCTGATTCCCCTCCTGGTAACCTCGCGGAAAAACCTGGAAGTGACCACCATTTTTCTGTTACCTTTTCTGCTAGCTTACACTTGTCTCCAAGATACCTTCTTTTGTCTCCATTTGCTGTTGACCCTGGAAGGATGCAGAAGTTACCCACTTAATATTTCTTCTGTGATCAAATACTTGCACAAGAAAAGTTCTGTCTGCCTCTAACAGCCCTAGGGAAAATATGTATTTTCATACTGTTATTATGAAGGCAGGCACTGGAGTTTGTTGTTTTGTTTTTTCTGCCCAGGCATTTTTTTCCAGGATGCTTTTGACTATCTTTTTTTATTTCAGCAAATGTTAGAGGGATCTTAGGATTCTTGAAATGATTAACATAGGAGCCTATGGCTGTTCACATTGGTTGTTCCACATAAATTCTAAAACTGCTGAAAGAAAGTCTGGTTGCTCCTCTCAAAATAAATCACGCTCTAATCAATAAGACTGACAGTTGTGCAGAATAGAAGCTAAGATTGTGCATTGTAAAATACGAAGTTAGGGCATTTATTTAAATTCTCCCCAGCAAATTTCTCCCTGGATGTTGGGACTCTGATTTATCTCAAACCATTCTTTCATGTTTTAATTTTCATATTTTATTCTAGTGGTAATTCCTCTCAAATTAGCTTGGAAAATTTAGCCAAAGTCATTTCCTCTCAAAACAGGAAACAGTGTAAATCTAAGTCAGCTGGAGGCAGATTGCAACCACCAAGTGTTGTCACAAGTTTCTTCCATGTCTATCCTCTTCTCACTTCCCCCTTGAGTCTCTATCCTTCATCAACAATCTGCTCACTTCATTGGTAGCAGTTATAAGGTAGAAAGGAAATTATTCTGTCTCTCTCCTTTGCAGCATTTGGTGTTTCTATAGTAATGGGCCAGGTGCAAGTACCACTGAGAAAATGGTAATCTCCAGGCTTCTTGGTACCTGTTTTTATAGCAGTGCCATGCCCCATGTAAAGAAGAAACATAAAAACAGAGAAACAGAGCAAGTCAGAAGGGATCTCCTGGGCCATTTAGTCTGACCCCCGGCTCCAGTCAGCTCTGCTCACGACATGCCCACCATGTACATGTCTAGCCTATCTTTGAACACCCTCACCGATGCAGCCTCAACCACCTCCTGTGGAAGCCCATTTCATACCCTCGGGGTCCTAACTGTCATACCCTCAGGGTCCTAATGGTGTCCTGGCATCCAAATTGAACCTTGGTTCCCTGAGCTTTGCTCCATCGGAGTGCATCCTGCCCTCCTCCACACAGGAGAACAGGTCTCTACCCATCTCCGTGTGACACCCCCTCACATGCCTGTATGTCGCCAAGAGATCCCCTCTGAGTCTCCTCTTCTCCAGGCTGAAGAGACCCAGTTCCCTCAGTCTTGCTTCATATGGCTTTCCCTGCAAACTGGTCACCAACCTTGTGGCCCCACGCTGCACTGACTCTAACCTGGCTATATCCTTCCTTTAATGAGGGGCCCAAAACTGAGCACAATACTCCAGTATTGTGGGCGCACCAGAGTCATATAGAGTGGTAGTAATGCCTCTCTTGATCTAGAAGCCACACTTCTGGCTATACAACCAAGGGTGGCATTCACCCTCTTGACCAATGCATCACACTGCTGACTCATGTTTAGCCTGCAGTCAACCAGTACCCCGAGGTCCCTTCCAAAAGTGTTGCTTTCCAGCCACTTGTCCCCTAACCTGTACTTATGACACCCATTCCTATGCCCCAAGTGCAAGACCTAATGGTTACCCTCTGCTTTTGGTCATTCAACCATTCCCTAATCCACCGGACAGTGCATTGGCCTATCCCAAAACTCCTCAGTTTCTCAACCAGGATATCATGGGGCACTTTGTCAAAGGCCTTGCTGAAATCCAGGTATACCACATCCACTGCATCCCCTCCATCTAGCCACCTCGAAACCACGTCGTAGAATTCCACAAGGTTTGTCTGGCAGGACCTGTTTTTGCGGGGAAAAAAGAGACAGAGGCTTCCTCCCACTTGCACATGAGTAGCACAAGCTGGTTGGAGTGGGGTAGGATACTTATGGTTGTGGGTAGGGAGGCTGGCTGCTGAAGCTGAGCCTGGTAATACCTCATAGGGTTCGTCATTTCATTACTACGATTATATTCTGCTAGCAGAAAGCAAGTTCCTAACTATGTGCAAGAGAAACATCCAACTAAAGTTATATTTGCACAAGTGCAGTTGGACAAGAGGTTTTGAATTATGCTTTTGCAACCCATGGTGCAACCAGCTGCAATTTTCAGTTTACATCTTTTGACTTACGAGCTACCAACATACAGTAGAACACATGAGCGTTGTTCAAATCATAGCATGGAAAACAATTGTGCTATGATTGTGTGATTGCATCAAGATTCCTTTTTGTGCTGATATGAATCGACACAGGAGTACCCATATGCACTTCTGTGCATTGATTGTCATTGGCAGGTATTTAAATAAGAATTAAATGCATCTTTAAATGCATTTATTCAAATATTAATATACAGATCTACAGGCTGTTTTGAATGGACTTCAGAAATATGCCCTCTGAATATATCTAAGCAGAAATGCTTTAGATGTGTGTTCTGCCCCGGCTTTCCAAAGTAAGCCATTGTCTTGTGTTGTTTATGAGATCTAATAGATGGAAACATTGGCAGAAATATCAGCAGTACCAGTCCTGGCAAGAACAGCACGTGGTATGCCAGGATTGCATGAGGTTTCATGCAGAAATGTCATCAAGATATGAGAGGAGTGTTGCAACCCCGTAATATGTTTTATCTGAGTTACAGAGCAATTCAGTTTCTTCCCACCTCCTTCCAAAGGCACAGCTTTCTGCCCTTCTCCTACACAATAGTTCAAGTTCCCGCTTTCTGTTTCTCCCCACTCACTTATGTGCTGCTCCTGCTCTGGGGCAGTGAGCAAGGGGGAAGAAAGAAGAGGCCGAGGTCTGCCCCTAATGCATTTCCAAAACTTAAGCAAGCACAGGGAATGGAGGCTTGCAAGGGCGGCTGATATACTCCATGCTCCTGTGCAAGGCAGCTTTTCAGGAAGAGATGCAGCTGGAGTGGGATGGTGGAGGAACTTTCCACTGCCACCCCCAGAGCCAGGCACCACGCGAACAAGGAAGCTCACAAAGGGGTGGGAGCTCTTGAAGCTCACAGAAGGCAGGGACTGAACCTGATGGGTCCTCCGTTGACGGTGCTGCCAGATCTATATTTATTTCAACTGTCCGGCAATAAAGTGGTGTGGTGGTTGGAGTGCTGGACGAGGGTTCCAGTCCCCACCTGGCCATGAATCTCCCAGGCCCACTCTGGGCCAGCCATGCACTCTCAACCAAACCCGCCTCACAGGGCTGTTGCTGTTGTGAGGATAAAAAATGGGGCTTCATAAGCCAACTTGGGTTGCTCAGAAGAGGATAAAAGGCAGGATGTAAAAGCAACACAATAATAGTAATAGTAAGCTGAGCGGTTTTCTGGGCTGAGGTGCAGGCAGGTAACTCAGCCTGTTCCAAGTGAATCTAAAATTAGGTGGGCTTTCATATCACTGTTCTGTGACCAATCTTTGGTCTTTCCTCACTGATCTTTTCTATTTAGAACAGTCAGTTGAAGAGCCATCTATGAAAAGGCTGTACCTGAAGGGAAAGCATTTTTACTGGTTTATTTAAAGTGCTGGACCTTTTAAGGTTAGAGCCTGCTCAGGGAGGTTAGGTGTACCATATAGCAAAAAATTATGTAAGTATGCAAATAGGCAATAAATATATAATAAATTGCTGTAAAACAGATTACTGCTGGATCATTTGGTTAAACACCATCCAAGTAGCATCCTCCTGAGCACCCTCTTCCCAACCAGGAAAGGGAAGCCTGGTCTCTGCGCACAAGACAGAGTGAAAATATTTTCATCTGATTCATATTTGGGTTGTGACGATGCACTGTCCTTTTTTTCCAGGGACCCCTATCACACAATTGAAGCAATTGATCCACAGAACTTAAATGTCTTCCAAACAGTGAGAGAAATAACAGGTAACCTACCTTTACAACCCTCTTACTTATTTTGGATTTCTGTTTTTCCTTTCCAGTGCAGGCAATACGTTGGCTAAGAGCATGAGCATTTTCTCCCAGCTATGAATTCACTAGATGGTCTTAGGCCAGCTGTTACTCCTTCATCTAGGCCCTTGAACCCTGGGTTCCTTCTCCATATAGGCCTTAGAGGGCTGTTGTAATGGTTTGTGAGATGGTTATATAAAGAAGTTTAAACAATTTGGTGGTAGTAATATCCTCTGTGTCCATGTGCCACAAGTCTGGATTAACAGCAGAGGCAGAAGGGGCTTGGAGGATTGATGTCAGAGGTGATGGTGTCATGATTTTCCAGACAAGCATCTCTGTGGAGGTTCAGCCAGCTGCTAAGGGAGCTGCGAGCAGCTTCCAGGCCCTTTTCAGTTGGTTCCTTTCCCCTCCCCATTTCATTGCATGCATTTGTTCAACTGACCTCGTGACACATTGCTAGCCCACTCTGTCATTTCAGGGTGAGACTGGAATGCAAGTAGGAACTGAACCCTCCTTTCCCACTTCTGGCATTTCCCAGGACAAGCCTGTGCCTGTGAAGGCAGTTTCTGGCATCATCTGCTTTTGTCCTAAGGGTGTCTGAGCAATCTGAGGGGGGATGAAAATCCTGGTGCTGACTTGCAGTTCCATGAGTTATCAATATTATACAGTTTGCACATCAATTCTCTTTTCAGGGTGTCTTGCACAAAACTCCACAAACCTTTTCTAAAATTTTGCAGGTTTTTCCCCCCAGAGTATGTTGCTTTTGTACAATTTGCCCCCGAAAACACAAAAGGGTAAGCTTTCCTTGCTCCTTTTCAAAAATCTCTGAACTGTAAGCCTGCTCTTACACAATCTTCAGTGTGCCTACCTATCTCTGTGAAATTTGGCAGGCTTCATCCCCTAATAAAGGGATACCTGAATGTTATAAAGTTCTGACAAAAAAATGGTCTATAAAAAGGAATAGTTGCCCTTCCTGAGGGCTTCAAGCCTGCCACATTTCAGACCAATAGCTGTGGATGGCTTGTGCAATAGCAGTCTTGAAGACATCTAAAAAGAGTGGTCTACTTAGCCCATGTGGACCACTTTTTTGAAAGTGATGACAAAATAAGAAACCTGCAAAGTTTCAGAAGGATAGGTGCAGTGAATATCTCTGCAGCCCTAACTTTGGGTGGGGAGTGATTAGCTTTCCCTTTTCTACCCCATGGGCTTTTGGTCAGTTCTATGAAAATGACATCTCTGGGCATGAAACTTGTGAAGTTTCAGAAGGATGGGTGCAAAGGCTGAGGAGTCACAATTTCAAAAACCAGTTTAAGGCTTTTTTTTTCAATAGTGAAGCCAAGTCCATTCTTCCAGCCCCTGAAGCAGTGTTGAGAGCCCCTTGTATAATGTGCCCTATGGACATGTTAGCTGATCAGTTTGACTGCCTTCCTGCCTCCCCCAGGTCAGTATTTAAAGAAAGATAACAAGAGACGCTATTCCTGGAGACAGGTTTCCTTCCTTTCTCAAATGGAATTCCCAGTGAAACATTGTACAAGCACCAGCTCTGGTACTGGGCACACTTTGCCCAGGAAGCATCAGAAAAGGTATAAAGGGACCTAGCTGAGGTTGGCCTGAATGTGATGCATGGGTCCTCTGTGCACTCAGGACATTTTGGTAGGGCTTTTCCCCTTCCAACAGCTACTTCTGTCGAGTTTTTCCCTGTGAGGAAACACCATACAGCATGACATGAATGTTTATGAATGTTTAGCTGCAAGTCTGAAGATCTGACAACTTGGATGCACCTCTTGTTCTTCAGGATTGTTTTTGGACAGCGAGATTCCAAGTGTGTTTTCACTCTATGACTGCAGTGAGAACATTCTGTAACTCACTGGCTTCATCCTTTTTAGGGTTCCTGAATATACAATCATGGCCAGAAAACATGACCGACTTCAGTGTGTTTTCTAACCTGGTTACCATAGGTGGAAGAGCATTATACAGGTAGTATACACCTTTTATTTTTCTTAGCCTTCTCACTTTTCAAGGTCAAATTTCAGAAATCATAACTTCCAAAAACTGCGATGAGTCTGCATATTTAAAGATTGGGTATCAGCATTGGTCACTTGACTTGGATTATTCCACTTTCCTGAGGCAGAGGTAGGCATACATGCTCATGCACAAAATCAAATATTTCTTTAGCACATCAGTTATTTCTTATCTATCCCACCTGCACTCTGGCCACCAACTTTCATCACTAGAAGCTTCAACTGTGCTAACAATTTGAGTATTTATTGTATAGTTTTAATGGTTTTTGTTTTGTATTCACATGAGGATCAATGAAGCTAAAGAGTGGCATAGACATTTCTTAATTTCTTAAAAATGGTGCTGTTGATGTTTGGAAAAGTGGAGGGATGATTTATAGCAGAAGTCCAGCTTTAAATGGACTCATGGTTGCTTTCCGCTCCCTCACATTTTTCAAAGCAAACTTATCCTAAAGATAGACAATGATGTTGCAGCCTTTGTAAGCTTGGATGAATCTGTGAATTTTTATAAATCTCCCCTGCCAGTAGGTTGCATGAAAGCTGTAGTTTCCAGTGCTAAACCATTCTAATTCATTTGGTCTCTACAACAGAAGATTGGTGTAAAAATATCTTTCCATCACATGCCAACACTTTCTAAATAAACTCTTGGGGGACTCTTCAGGGACCCACATTTTTTGAGATGCCCCCCCCCCCCAAAATCATTACACAACTAGGGTTTTTTAGAGAAACATTGTACAATTCCTGAATAGCTTGACTTTTTCAGAGGCAACAAGGGAGTTCAGAAATATTTTTAGAATTTATTCTAGGACATTTGTTAATAACAATACCATGTTCATTTAGCTGATTGCAGCTTGGATCAATATCATTTTGGATTGTATGATGATAATAATTATATTCAATTTTATCTTGCCTGTTTCATTTAATCTTGTTTATGTCAGTTTTTAAGACTTCTAGCACAACAAGCACATTTTAGCCCACTGAAGATCATAATACTGGATTTCATCCAATGTTCTCTGAGCAGGAAGAGTATGAGTGGTGCTGTTTTGCAAACTGTCATATAAATACTAACAGAAAACATTCTGCAATAGAGACAGGCAACCTATTATTTGATTACAAAGATCCATAGTCTGTCAGATCTCCCCAGAGCTTACAGTCTTGAAACCCACCATGTTCTGAACAACCATCCCAAAAATGATCAGCTTGGAACATATGGTTGGCAAGCATGACAGAAGGCAGTGCAAGGTTTAGGTAGACACTACAGTTAGATAGGAGGGGGAATTGCAGAATACTTTATGCAAGATATTTCACAATATCTTACATGAATGAAATAGCCATGTTGGGTTTGAGCGTGCTTTTCTTGCCAACCCTCTTATGTGAGAATGAAAATGGCCTTCTTTAGCAAAAGAGATTTTGTGCCAGTGGGAAGACACCCTTGGATTCAACCCATTGCTTTGGATGTTGTCAGTCAGTTGCAATAAATACTAACTCTGTAATTGAATTTTGGTACTCCAGTTTCATAATGAACTAAAATCTTTCAGTGTTGCCAAACTGGTTTGTCTTCAGTCACTGTCATTTGTTGCTCTGGAATTAATTTTTGTGTCTTGGAAAGCAAAATAATATAAAAATGCTGGGTAAAATGTTGAAATGCTTGTATGGCTATTATAGAATATATTTAATGTACAAAATCCAATTTAATTGTACTTTTAGGCATGTTCTGGTATGAAAGCTGATGTCAAGGAAGAGTTGCTGTAGGGAAATAAAACACCAGAATGGGAGTAGTGTGAAACAATAGATCAGTGTGGCACACATCATGACCCAATGGAACAAAAAGTTGTTAATCAATCAAGAGATTCTGCTGATATTGTAAACAATGGCCCAAACAGATTATAAGTAGCTGGGAAGCCTTGAGATTTGAATTACAATCTAGTGCTGCCTTTTGTTGTATTGGTTTTCATCTAGAACAGCTGGAAAATAATTACTGTCTTTTTTTCAAGAGAGCAAATAAATCTGCAGAGTGCTAGTTTCTCATAAACTGGATTTTAGCTTCACTAACGTTCTACTCTGAAATACTATACAAAGTTATCTCTACTCCACAAAGTTAAGGATTTTTGCTTGATGTTAAGCAAATGACTAGCTGCCAAGAAAAAAAGAATAATCATAAGAAAATAGCAGGAAATCTCCTTGGAATTAGTAATTTTATTTCCATTTTAACGTAAACAGTACGAATGTGGCTCTGGTGGGATAAAGCCCTCAAACATCAAGAAAAACTTCATCATTTCCTCTTCTGATAATAGTTCATTTCAGTATTACTTTGCTTTCCATACTTCTTTGTTTGTTTTTTGACTGAAACAGCGATGTTGAACTAATCCAATTTAACTGACAGCCACTCTGAAGAAGGGTGCAGCTCACCCTGCTCCCGTCAGGAGTTGTAACTCAAATGATGTGATCATCTGGTTGATCTTCCTTATGTGCTTGGTGGGGGAATGAGATGGCTTCTTCTGATCTTACCTGCAAGGCACACCTGTCCACTTCAAGTATCTATGCATGATGATGGTATTTGAAGAGGACAGATGCACGCATGTGTTTACCTCAGGAGTTCATAGAAACAGAGAGCAAGTCAGAAGGGGTCTCCTGGGCCATCTAGTCTGACCCCCGGCTCCAGCCGGCTCTGCTCACGACATGCACACCATGGACATGTCTAGCCTATCCTTGAACACCCTCACCAAGGGGACCTCAACCACCTCCTGTGGAAGCCCATTCCATACCCTTGGGGTCGTAGCTGTCAGGAAGTACTTCCTGGCATCCAAATTGAACCTTGGTTTCCTGAGCTTTGCTCCATTGGAGCGCGTCCTGCCCTCCTCTGCACAGGAGAACAGGTCTCTACCCATCTCCCTGTGACATCCCCTCACATACCTGTATGTCGCCAACATATCCCCTCTGATTCTCCTCTTCTCCAGGCTGAAGAGACTCAGTTTCCTCAGTCTCACCTCATATGGAATCCCCTGCAAACCGGCCACCAACCTTGTGGCCCTACGCTGCACTGACTCTAACCTGGCTATATCCTTCCTTTAATGAGGGGCCCAAAACTGAACACAATACTCCAGTTGTGGGCGCACCAGAGTTGTATAGAGTGGTAGTAATACCTCTCTGATCTAGAAGCCACACTTCTGGCTTTGCAACCAAGGGTGGTGTTCGCCCTCTTGACCACTGCATCACACTGCTGACTCATGTTTAGCCTGCAGTCAACCCAGCAACTTGTCCCCTAACCTGTACTTATTTATTTTATTTATTTATTACAAGCATTTGTATCCTGTCCTTCTGCACAAGGACTCAGGATGGCTTACTTATGACACCCATTCCTATGCCCCAAGTGCAAGCCTCGCACTTCTCCACATTGAATGCCACCCCCTTGTCTCCTGTCCACTTCCATATTCTGTCGAGTACTTGCTCCTGGATCTGGAGTACTTGCTCCTCAGTTGTGGCCACTGCCCCTGTTTTAGTGTCGTCTGCAAATTTGATCAGCAGACTGTTCACCCCTTCTTCCATGTCGTTGATGAAAAGATTGAACAGGATTGACCTCAGGACAGAGCCCATCCACACGCAGATTGAAAATTGACTGTGCTGTTTGGGTCTACACCCATTTATGAATAGCCAACAGTTTTAGAGACTTTCAGCGAGTAGGCAGACTAAAAAAGTCTCCATCTCTCTTTTTGCATCAGAGGAAAGCCCAGCTGATTGTGTGATCCAGGCTCTGAAGTTGTTTGAAAACTCTGGCACATTTTCTCAGATTTATGCCTGTTGTACAACTTTTTTAGAACAAAGATTCTAAGGTCAAGACTATTATCCCCTTCTGGTGTTATCCGCACTGCAGAAGGTCCCAACAAATAAGTAAATTGCAATCCACTGGTTTCATATACATTATGTGATAGATTTGGGGTCCTTTGAAACCCTCACAGGCTGAAGCTGAGACCATAACAAATCTTGGCAGATATGCAATATTCAACATAGAATGTAAACTAAACCCATTGTCTATTGCGGCCCAGAATGCATACAGTTTAGTTCAACTCAAACACTACAATAACAATCAATAAAGCAACCAACTAAAAAGCTACACAAACATCCATGTGAGTTTTTAAAATCTTTCAGTGGCATGATAAAAACAGAGAGCAGTCAGCATAAACGTTCCGTTAAATGTGTCTCCTGGGGCTGTGAATTCCAAAGACTGGAGGCCTGCTCACAAGTACCCATCCAGTGTACTTCGAAAGGCCTCACTATGTGGGGAGGCTCATAAAAAGCAGAGGAGCTGCATTCCCACGTTTGGAGGCCCCCATGGTCTTCATCACTGGTATAAAGGAACCTTCGGATATTCCAATTCAAACCACCCTGAGCTGCAAAGTTCAGAATGCACACTTTGGATTGGGTTCCAAAACACATTGGGAGCTGGTGAATGTGACATAGTATTGGCCAAGCATAATCAGAAAGCTAAGTTCCCATCACAGCAGGATCTGTTGTGATCTGCAAACCCTTTTGTGCCTGAGGCCTTTCATGGGCAGAGCTATGTAGTCTAATCTGGACATGACTGAGGCATGTGTGGCAATAGCCAAGTCTAAGTGGGCTCAACTAGCTCGTAGCTGAAGGTGACCATGACTTCTACTTGGGCTTCCAGGAGGAATGGTGTCTGCTGGAGCACTCCCATGCTGTGAACTGATCCTTCAGGCGGGTGGAGGCAACCCTAACCTGCACAGGGGCAAGCTCCTGTCATTGGATGCGCTTGAGCTGTTGGTCCACATCTAGTGTGCTACTGCCCCAGGCAAGGGTTCATAACTGGCATGGTTATGATGGAAAGGGCACGTATGGCTAAACATCACTAGCACTTATAAGGGCAGAAGATCCAGTTGATTGTTAGATCTAGGCAACCAAATAGGGAAGGCCGTTTCAGTTCAGGCCAAGAGAGCTTTGGCTGTTGGGCAGTGTAGAAATCGAATAAATAAATAAATGATAATAAGTAGCTCTGTATAGCAACAGAACTCATTCAAGTTCTGGCTGGCTTCTGTCCTAAGATTTGCATCAGCAATGAAGCATTCATAACTGTAGGACTAGTTCACTGTCACTCAGTGTCAACCTCTCTCTCCCCAAATCATGGGCAGGTACATTCTGTGCACCAGTGGTGTAAGAGTACAAACGGCACAACATGGAAGTGGCTCTTTTGGATCTCACTACACTTGCGACAATAGCTGCTGAGACTACTGAGCGCACAGGTGCTTCCTCATGGTCACACATTTCCAAATACAGGCACGTTTGTGTTGATGGAAAAAGCTGTGGGTAGGACAGCATGCTTTATCACATTGGATAGCTTGACAGAGTTTGGAAAATATAATCTTTCCCCGAAGCTATTCTTTAGAGGGAGCGTGCAGATAGCTTGTCTTGGACAGCGAGACTTTTCACTCCTCCTTACCTTTGAGCACCTTTGAGTGGTTTTGTGCAGTGTGTCTGCCCCAAATCTCTGCGTGCAACACATAATCTGGATGGGCAACTGAGGCCCTTTCCACAAAACATATGCCAGCATGTTGCTATGTGCCTATTTACAATTCTGGTTTTGTTTCTTCTTTCAGTGGTCTTTCCCTGCTTATTCTCAAGCAGCAGGGAATCAGATCTCTGCAGTTCCAGTCCCTGAAGCATATCAGTGCTGGCAACATCTACATAACAGACAATAGTAACTTGTGTTACTATCACACCATCAACTGGACCAGCCTCTTCAGCACCTCCAATCAAAAGACTGTGATCCACAGAAATAAGAAGGCTGAAAACTGCAGTAAGTATTGCACTCATGAGGAAGTGTGTACTGAAAGAGAGAGCACCAGCAAGCAGTGCTTCTGAATTTTGTAGACAGTGAGTGGTTGTCTACTTGTACAGAAATAAACAACACACACATTGCTTTTGTAATGGCACCAAAGCAATTTTTAATAGAAACGATACTTTTTTAAAGTTAGGAAACTGATATTTATGACATTGTGATACAGAAAATAAAGTAGAACAATCACATGAATATTCAGTATTATTGTATAAATTTAGGTCTGTTCTGAATGTTCTTTAATGAACACTTTCAGCATATTTATGGGGGAGGAGAAAAACCCCAGAGGGCTGAAGAAATTTTTAATGCTTTCAAAGACACATTCTGCAGGTGGAGGATGTAAAAAGGTACCATTCAGAGCCAGTAGCACAAATTTATTCCATACTCTAATGCAAGATTTGCTGCTGTGTGAAAGCAGCAGCAACAATCCTCCAGGGCCACTCTCACCCTTGCAAAGCTCCAGGAAGAAACATAGAAACAGAGCAAGTCAGAAGGGGCCTCCTGAGCCATCTAGTCTGACCCCCGGCTCCAGCTGACTCCGCTCACGACATGCCCACCATGAGCAGGTCTAGCCTATCCTTGAACACCTTCACCAATGTAGCGTCAACCACCTCCCGTGGAAGCCCATTCCATACCCTTGGCATCCTAGTTGTCAGGAAGTACTTTCTGGCATCGAAATTGAACATTGGTTCACTGTGCTTTGCTCCAGTGGAGCATGTCCGGCCCTCCTCTGCAGGGGAGAACAGGTCTCTACCTACCTTTGTGTGACACCCCCTCACATACCTGTATGTCACCAACAGATCCCCTTGGAGTCTCCTCTTCTCCAGGCTGAAGAGACCCAGTTCCCTCAGTCTCGCCTCATATGGCATCCCCTGCAAACCGGCCACCAACCTTGTGGCCCTACGCTGCACTGACTCTAACCTGGCTATATCCTTCCTGTAATGATGGGCCTAAAACTGAGCACAATACTCCAGTTGCGGGTGCACCAGAGTCATATAGAGTGGTAGTAATACCTCTCTCAGTCTAGAAGCCACACTTCTGGCTATGCAACCAAGGGTGGCATTTGCCCTCTTAACTACCGCATCACACTGCTGACTCATGTTTGATCAGCATACTGTTAACCCCATGTGGTTGATGAAAAAATTGAACAGGATCGGCCCCAGGACAGAGCCCTGGGGGACCCCACTTGTCACTGGCCACCATCCCAATGATTCCCCACTAATGGTTACCCTCTGCTTTCAGTCAGTCAACCAACTAATCCACCGGACAGTGCATTGGTCTATCCCAAAACTCCTCAGTTTCTCCACCAGGATATCATGGGGCACTTTGTCAAAGGCCTTGCTGAAATCCAGGCAAATCACATCCACCGCATCTCCTCCATCTAGCCACCTCGAAACCTTGTTGTAGAATTGCACAAGGCTTGCCTGGCAGGACATGTTTTGTGGAAGTCGTGTTGTGTGGCCGCCAGTCTCCCTTCCCTATCTAGCATCACTAGATCTCTCACTATTATGAGCCTTTCCATTGTTTTTCCTACAATGGACGCAAGACTAACAGGTCTGTAATTCCCCACATCCTTCTACTACCCTTTCTGAAAGTTGGGATCACTGATGCCAACCTCTAGTCCTCTGGAACTTCATCCGTTTTCCACGAGGCCTCAAAAATGGAGGCCAGCGAGAATGAGAGAACCCCTGCCAACTCTCTAAGTGCTCTCGGGTGTAACCCGTCAGGGCCTGGCACCTTTGTGATGTCCAATGCCCTGAGGAGCCCCTTGACTTCAAGGGGGGGTGACTCTAATCTGTGCCCCTATGTCCCCAGCCTCATCTAATCTTCTATGTGGATATCCCCCATCCTGCTTTGGGGAGAACACAGAGGCAAAATAGTCATTTAGCATCTGGGCCTGTTCCCTCATATCAGTCACTGGATCTCCTTCCTCCTTATTTAGTGGTCCCACTACTTGTCTCCCCTTCCTCTTCCTATTTACATGCTGGTAGAAGCCCTTTTTGTTGCTCTCGATATTCTTGGCAAGTCTCAGCTCGTAATCAGCCTTAGCCTTGCGAAGAATCCTTCTGCAAGGGGCCTCCTCCTCCCGGTATACCCTTTTGTCTATTTCCCCCAGTGCCCATTTCCTACGGAGGTCCCTCTTTCGTCTAATCCCTCTAACCACCTCCTTTTGCATCCATGGCGGCGCTCTCCTCTGCCTCCCCACCTTACTAACTAGAGATATCGTCAAGGCTTGCTCCTCCAAAACCTCCCTTTTGAGTGCCATCCATCCCTCCTCAGCTCGCTTACCTTCCAGTAACCTATCCCAGGAGACTTTCCCCAGTCTGGCCTTCAGTTGGCCAAAGTTGGCCCTCTTGAAGTCCCAGCTTCTAGTGCTCGACCTGCTGCACGTCCCCAGTCCCCTGATCTCAAAGCAAAGGATGGAGTGTTCACTCACATCCAGAGCTCCCTTAATCTGTGACATGGCATCCTTCCACTTGCATTATAGGTTGAGAGTGGTTGTGGAATAGAAGAAAATCACTCTTCTCATGGAAGCAACACTTGTTTTCAGAAGCTGCTTTTGGGGGGTGGGGAGGGCTGTTGAAGAAGGAGGAATGGTCTGCCACCAGCTCACAGTAGGTACCTATTTTACACCCTTCAAAGCATTATGTTTGTAAGCTGTCCTGAGATGCCAAGGCGTAAGGGACAGCATAGAAAAGTTTTAAATAAAATAAAATATTAAATAAAATATTATTTTATTTATTTTAAACAATAAATAATAAGTTTCCATGCACAGCACTGCTGCGGAGCTCCCCTGGAGCCAGCCAGGTCCAGCCAGGGCATTCACAGCGCCACTGCCACCCCTTCAGCTGGTGCCCTGGAGTGAGTGTGTGCCCAACCCCGCAGCTCTCCCACTCTTTGCACCCCGTTTTCTCAGATGGATATACCCAGAATGCTGCCCTGCCAGCACTATCAAAAGGAGAGCCAGGCAGCTGCTCTAGTACTGGGCATGGATCTTCACTTCTCTCCCCGCCTGTGCAACGGCAGCAGTGGGGCACTAGGGTGGGCAAGCCCACCCATATGGAGGCAGCGACCGGCAGCAGCTGCACCTTGGGGGCTGGCACCGGCTCTGCCAGAGGGCCTGGTGGAGGCAGGCAGTGGATGGAACCAGCAAGGCAGGCACAGTCCCCAGCAGGCCCTGCTGGGAACTGTGGGCACCAGCAGCTGCCCGTACATGCTGGATTCTGCACACTGGTTCTAGCAGCCACCTCTGCAACTTTTTGGGGTGCTTTGCAGTTGCAGGAGGGCTGAGTAGGCAAAGGGATTATTTGTGCCCGTGCTTGGCAGGGTTTAGCATTTGGATTCACAGATCTTTAACAACTGTTCTTAAACCAAACCCTTTCTATTTTGTCTAAAACTGTGGCTTTTCTGCTGATATCTTGTAGGCTTGGGTTGGTGGAGACTTTTGCATCATTCTTATATAACTAGTGGAGGGCCCCACATCCTAGTACAGTGAGTCTTCTTCCTGATTATCTTGATTTTTTAGTGGTCAAGTTGCCATTTCTTGAGCTGATGGGATGGACAGCTTGGGGCCAGACAGAAGGGGTCAGGGTGGGGGAGGCTAAGCATTTACAATGCAGCAAGCCCCTCTGAGTTAAATGGGATCAGTGCATATAGGATTGCAGCCTTAGAACTTTGCTCCCGGGGTCCTTTGAATCACTGGAGCACCTCCCCTGTGTTCCGTCACAGCATTCATGGACTTCTACAACACCTTGTTGCAGCACCTTCATTCAGAGACTTCCAGTTAGAGGGCTCCAAGTGTTGCCAGTTAGAAGGCATCGTGCAGCTATTCAGTCTTCCTCCTTAATGGATTTTATGCCCTGACAGTAACAGTGAGAAAACAAGGGATGATAGTATATAACTCCCCCACCCCGCCCAAATTCTACAGATGAATCAGGGCAATGGCATGATAAAAGCCTTGTTGGGAACCACCCCAAATATGGAGAGACGTTTTTTACTTATATAACTGGAAGAACCACAAATGTTGTGTTAGAATAGTCCTTTCAAACTACATTTACTCGAAGCTTGTATTAAGAACATCAAAGGAAAAATGAGGCTTGATGAAGAATCATTTTTAGGTTATTGTCAGTGATTTCAAAGAAGCATCTACAGCTTGAAGAGCTTGAAAAAAAAAGCAGCAGGGTATGAAAATATAAAAGGAGGACTTGGCATAGCCATTCCTCTCATGCAATTATTTACTGATAATTGAATCACATTTGTCTTGAAAACTTTTAAGATCTAACTGAAGCACAAACACTTTGGTTCTGATCTTAAACATTATTCGGGAGTCGTATAATTCATGGCCCTTAAGCATATACCCAGACTTTAACTATACTAAACTTGATAGATAAAAGGCTTGGATAATGCCAATATACTTTATGACTGAGTCCAGCCTGCACAGATTCACTTGGAAGTGGGGGCTGTCCTCCAAAATCATATACAAGCTTCTATGAAAATAGGTACATTTTACATTCTGTAATCTCTGCTGTCGCAAAATCTGATAGGACCCATTTAAGAAACCTTGGCAGGAAAACAAGTAAACCTAGGAAGCTTTCTTATACTGAGTCAGAACATTGATCCATCCAGCCAAAGGTGCAGCCAAGGTGCTTGGCCAAGGCAGGTTGACCTCCTGTTTGGTTGGCCCTTGCCCTTCGTGGATTATTACCTCTAATAGGGAGGAAATATTGGACTGAGTCCAGAGAGTGTGCTTACAGTTATGGTCACCTCATTCACAGAATTTTCTTCTGGTGGTAATTGAGCCACTCATGAAAAAGCCTAACAGATGAAGATGATGCTAACAGCTGTAGGTCAGTAGCCAGTCTTCCATTCCTGGGCAAGATGCTTGAGTTGTAATCTTTGCAGTGCCCAGGGAAGACCTTCTTTTTTTCCAGGAAATGTAGTCTTTCTATTTCTGCTGTTTT